TGTGTGTGTGGTAGCCTATCCGTTCGAAATGTTCGGAGCCCCGAAGAGCGTGCTCTTCGTCAGGGCCATGTTGTTGTTGTTGTTGTTGTTGTTGTTGTTGTTGTTGTTGTTGTTGTTGTTGTTGTTGTTGTTGTTGTTGTTAAAGTTTTGGTTAGAGTTGCGTTTTATGACACCTGCAACACAATTAGGTCATGTGTGCGTCGAGGAATAGAAAGATTATCTGAGAATATCATAGGATAAAAAACACACACACACACACACACACACACACACACACACACACACACACACACACACCCCCCCCCCCAGCCCCACACACAAACCCCACACACATACACTCACTCACATACCAGCCCACATCAAACACCTCAGTTAGCCTCACTATATCCTCGTCCCGACTGGTGCTGGGTTAGCTCACAGCGGCGCTGCTTTTTTGCCCCCACATTTATTTCACAGGTTGCACAGAACAGAAAAATCCAGTTGACGTTAAATATAGATTTGCTAAAACATCCACGAGAGATTAGCTACAAACTGTCTATGAATGAAAAAAGAAAAGTGCAGGATGAAGTGAGAAATTATCAGTGAGATTCAATTCCTCGGCTCACGAGTGCTTTTGATGACATCCTGACAATGGGGTGAAAGTTTACGACACACTTTCCCCCTGTGACACAGTTACTGTTACCTACGCTCCCATTGTTAGGCGCTGTCTACTTTCCTCGACTACACGGCCTAATCCAGCTCGTGGAGTTCTGTGTATGCATGATTGTGTGTGTGCTGCTGAGATTTAACGGTTATTAATTACATCAAACCACTTTTGAGGCAACTTTTTCATCAGATGAAAATTAATTAGAGAAGTTTGGAGGTGAAGTGGTTTCGTCCCCAGCATCCAGAAGAATTAAAGGTGAATTCTTTCGTTTGAATGGTTCTCAAAATGCCGTGGCTCACGGTGAGTATGGAAAAATCACCACTGTTTTGTTCTTATTGCTTGCTATTTGGTGGTAAAGAAGTGATAGCAACTTAAGCCCCACCCAAATTTTGGTCCACCCACCGCCACTGCATTCCTCCATCATTCCCCACAATACCCCCAGTGACACCGTGATAAACAAAAGCCTTCAAGGACACAGAGCGTTACACACAGACACCACCTGGGGGTCGCGTCAGGCCGAGCGGGGTCATGCCAGGACGAGCTTTTCTGTTTTGTTTTTTGTTTGTTTGGGGGTTTTTTGGTGTTTTTGGTTGGGGGGGGGGGTGGTGTTTTTGTTGCTGTTGTTTTTTTTTAAAGTGTTTTACGATGCTCGCAACTATATAAAGTCGTATGAGCGCGCAGGACACATTAAACATAACAGTTGGTACGAAGTTTTGAATTTTGCTCGGGTAGCGGCTGAAGGCTACTCTTATCGATTTTAGATCCCCCAAGGGATCTCTAACGTGCGCAACTTGCACACGGGACATCCGGGATTTTTCGTCCTTGTCCGAGAAGGCTCTGTATAGATCATTCCTATCAGAAGATCAAGTGTCGCTGAAAGACAGCAGTAAGAAAGAGCCAATGAGTAGCAGTAGAAAGGCTGTAGAAAGAGTCAGGGGCCCAGATGAGGAGGCAAAGGAGGTGAGGGAGGTGGCGGTAGAAAATGGAGACAAAAGCAGACGACAGAACGTTGCTAGAAAACAGGAAAGGAGGTAAAAGGAGATAATTTTAGAAAAGAAAATTTTGTTTCCGTCGCTATCCGGATTTGAACTCGGGACCTTTGAATGAGAGGCGAACACCTAAACCTCTAGGCCACGAGAGCCCCCC